ACGGTCGAAGGTTTAAAAGCCCCATATTAATTGAGTTTGGTGGCCTTCTTAGGCTTGTAAATAAATGTTGTATCATGTGGACACTTGTGAGAGATATTCGGTGGACCATTTTGACCCTTTGTTGTGCAACCGTTCAAAGCTTGTAAAGCCTGTTTGTAATTTGCATTGTCTATGAGGTGTTTTCGAAAATGTTTGTTTGTGGATCATGAGTGAGGCGTTTTCTCTAACTCGTTTTCTCTTTTGTAGGTCCTAAGGGACCATGGGAGGCTTCGGGGAGGCTGACCTTTGCGGACGGACATACATAGGTGCCGCACGACTTAGGCAAAACCAGCTAAGTCCATGACAGATAGTATCAGAGTGGGACAAGCACTCATAGAAACACTTGGCATGCAAATGTGGGGGACCTAGCGGGGCTGCGTTGAGGGCAGTCAACACACGCGCGACCGTTTGGGGGAAAACGAGCATGGAGATGTAGGGAAAAGGAATCGCTCGGAGGAGCGAGCATCTGAGATTGGCATTCAGAGGAATGGCCAACCCTTCGCGCAAGAGGCACCACGAGAACAAGCAAGCTTGGAAGAATGCGTAGCCGCACAAAGGTTGGGATGGCTGAGTTCGAACTACAGCTCAACGTTGACAACTACACTTGATAGTGCTCAAGACAAGCGAGGTGCTTGGTAAAGGATGAGACCATGCAAGGTGGAATGAGTTGTTCAGCGACCGAAAGAGTTGTGCAAAGCTCACAGAGGTGAGGGGAATTGCTAACTCGAAGAATTCGGTACTCATGCAATGGCTTATATGCGGACGATGGAATGTTCGCGACCATCCCAAGGAACTCGACGCCATGGAGCATTAAAACTTTCTCTTCGGCATATGAAGGATACGTCCGTAGGAGGCTGAAGTGTGCAGTGAGTTCAGCATGTTGCTAGACCTTGAGTGGTGCAGCGGGGGCTGTATTGACGTGGAGTCGCAATCTAACAAATGTGTTTGCAGGAGGCAGAACAATGCACAGTTTGTTCAACAAATCGGAGTAATCCAAGGGGATGGTGGTCTCCGAAACTTTCAGAGAGAAAGAAGCGTAGAGAGATGTTGCTCTAACGGGATAGTTATCCAGGAGGGATAGATCCCGATTCTCCAAAGGGAAAATCATGTGCAACAGACTGCACATATTGAGGAGTACCTCAAAAACAACAACTCCACGAAGCTCAATGGACCGAGTGAGTGGCGAGGAGTCGTTACATGATCTCGCTTGAGAGAATGCATTGGTGGATGCATTGCGAGACCAAGTAAGGGAGCGACCCAAAGCAACACAAATGAAGGCACACTTAGAGTCGATATGGAGATCAGACTCAAGGGAGGGCTGACCCGTGGAATGGTGGGCGTGAGGGCCACCGTCAACTCAATGCAAAACGAGGAGCGGAGAAACTTGGGCGTAACTTGGCGAAGTACCCAAGCCGCATGAAGGGAGCAAGCATAGAAGATGAAACATGGAGCGGAGGCACAAAGCTTTCCTTGGACAGAGGTCAAGGACATGAACTCTTGCAGAGGCAAGAGCAGGATCATGTTGTTCCATGGGTCCTTCATTCTGATGGAGCGGACTCATCTTGCATGGTGCCAAAGACGAAGGGAGCATCTAGGAACATGCATCTTATCTCGGTGAAGCATTTGAGGGAGGAACTAAGGCGACTCAACTTGCGAAGGCAAAGTTGGGTTCAGAAGGTCTTGGCACGGGGCAAGAGGACACGGAGGCGGGTACTCTTGAAGAATATGTCATAGTGTTGTCATTCAAGTTGCCATGAAGGAAGCGGTGCGCAGCAAAGATTGGGCTGGTAGAGGTAGAGGCCCAGGATCTAGACAACGGCGTACCATTTTCAGCGAAGTCGGTGGACTTCGGGAGCTACTAGGCGACGAACTGTCCTAGAGCGGTGCTTCATCTAGGTGTGACCCAAGAGTGGGTGGATGAAGGTCGATTGCCAAAGGAGCGAACAAAATCGAAGGTGGAAGAGACCGTGCGATGTATTGGTAGAGGCCACACATGGAGGGGTCACAATTTAAGTTCATCCCACAAGGATCAGAATGCATTAAAGATGTCACTAGGAGGCGACATGATGCAGCGGATCGTGGTGGAACAGTTCGTGGCATTGCGATACACACAACATAGTCCCGTGAGGGACTGTATCATACGGAGGTATGATCGGGAGCTACTGGAAGCTCCACTTCGGTGAACAACACGACGGCAAGAAGGGCTATGGATTCAAGGAGTGAAGGCCATGGTACCGCAGAAGCGGGTCTTCCGTGCGTGCATCGAATTTTGCATCGGATGAAAGCCTTGGTCATCAGAGACATATCTACTGATCGTGAAGAAAATGGATGCAAATGCGAGGCGACGGATAGTAGGGCCATGAGCATGGCAGCGCCATGGTACCGCAGAGGCGGGACTTCCGTGAAAGTCATTGATCCCTTGCTCTCATGGAGGGAGAGCGCTTGGTCATGAAAGGGGCCGAGGAGGTGGAGCATGCAGAGGCAAACTCCAAGTACCGAGACAAGGCTGAAGGGCAGAGGCCAAGGAACTTCGTAAGACCGGTGTCAACAAGCTTCTCATCAAGATAGCTGAAAGTGAAGGACTTCGGGTCATACAAGAGTGCACGACCAAGGAACGAAGTAGGCAGTACGCGGTACTGCACCTTTGCTACTCAGTGGAGTAGGTGGCAGGGTTGATGGAGAAGATGGTACAATCCCAGAGGCGACCAAATCTATTAGAGAATTACTCCAAGTTGGGGTGAAAACTTCCTGCATTCCAGAAGTTCGATGGCATTGAAAAAGTGAATCATAGTAGCTAACTCAATGCAAGGAGTGCAAACACTTCGAGTGCTTCAAAAGTGTGAGCAAAGAGCAAGCGAAGGTCAGTAACCAGCTCGATGCATGGAGTACAACCCTTAAGGAGACGGGTGAAGTCAGTAACCATTGTTTTCTTAACTCTTAAGAGAATGGGCGAAACCGAGTACCCCAATTCTCTTATCTATCCAGCAAAAGAGCACTGCACAGGTTCAAAGACCCTTCGAAGATAATGGAAGACAATAGTTGTCAAATCCTCACCAATGACGATCAGTGCTACTGAGAGTAGATCATCCGCTTCATTTCCCAACAAAATGCCAATCGAAAGCGAAAGTGATGCGAATCTACTTAGAAGTGACAACTAAATGAAAGAAGAGTCGATGGACATTTTGTAGAGGAAGGACCCAAAACTTCGAAAGTTTACGAGGCAATGCTTGTTAAAGCTCCAACAAGTATCTACCCAGTTCAAGCAACATGAGGCATTTGAGAGACTGGCACATAGTAAGGATGATCTTTTCCTTCATCTAGAGGATCCGCAGGAATCAACAAGGATCAACACAACTCAGCCAACCCCACACTAGAGTCAAAGTCATTGGCGAGTTGAAACAACATAGTAGATCAAAAGTTCGACTACTTAACAACAGCAGCAGAGAGCAGTTGGGAGCCAAGAGGTGCATTGTAGTTGGAGCAGAAGATTGAAGACTCAGCAAAGGTGAGGAGTTGCAATGTCGGTAAAAGACTTCGACGAGGACGTCGAAGGAATAAGTGAGGGAGAATGTCACAAAAAAAATTCTAAATAGAATGTTTGATGTAATACTTATGTATGTCCGTGTCTTTTGGTTTGTTCATACTTTGCACAACATGTAGAGGGATGGTCGAAGACTTAAAAACCCTATTTTAGTTGGGTTTGGTGGCCTTCTTAAGCTTGTAAATAAAGGTTGTGTCATGTGGACACTTGTGAGAGATATTCGGTCTGTAGCGGACCATTATGACCTTTTGTTGTGCAACCGTTCAGAGCTTGTAAAGTTTGTTTGTAATTTGCATTGTCTATGAGGTGTTTTCGGAAATGTTTGCTTGTGGATCCCGAGTGAGGCGTTTTCTCTAACTCGTTTTCTTTTTTGTAGGTCCTAAGGAACCATGGGAGGCTTCGGGGAGGCTGACCTTTGCGGACTAACATGCATAGGTGCCGTACGATTTAGGCAAAACCAACTAAGTCCATGACACAGTGGCAATAGCTATGAGTTTTCGAAAATCACCTTCAACCAATGGTCAAAAGCTGTATGGCTTCATCAATTATGCTAATAAGATTCCAAAACCATGTTTTGCAGCGTACCATGAATATAACGATGAGCTACTTAACGAAGATCGATAACATATATTAGAGCTCAATGAAAAGTTGAATTGTTTTAAAAAGAAGAGGCACTAACGGATGTTGGAAACAATAAATAAGTTGATAGTCTATAACTATGTGGGATGCAGTAGATGAGGCCACCCAAAAGGATAAAAAGGGTCTGTATGGTGCAGGAGGCTCCCACCACTATGAGGAGGGTTTTTTCACAGCCTTACCTTTAAATATAGATATTTAAAGAGGCCACCAAAGGGATAAGGATACTAATTAACTGCATTCAAATGTCATCCTTCAGTTTAGCACCCATGTGTTGGATGCTAATGCATGACTACCAGTAGAACAGGTGTGGAAAATGTAAACTCTCTTGTTCACTCCCTTGCAAACTGCAACTTGATTATTACTGCTTCATGTGCATGTGCTAAAAAATGAAACCAAGGCTCCATTCATTAAACCATCAGTCTACAGGTATGTTCAACATCCTCAATATTTGCAAGAAATTGCATAATATGGTACATTTCGTAGTCAGTACACTACCTCAATGGGCTTAAGCAAATAAAGAAGTAATTAAATTAAGTGGTTACTTCAATTGATAAATCTAGTAGTTCCTAGCACGTTTTACTCCGTCAGATTCTCATAAATATAAACTATCGTCAACCAAATTGTTTATCAAATCAAACTATATCGTTTATCAAATAAAAAGAATACAGCAGAAAAATGCTTCAGTTGTTAGTAGCAACTCAGAGACTTAATGGTCTGAAGTAACAAATTCTCAAAAACAGGTAGATGATGACTTATTTAATTACATGGGGAAAAGACCAACCATAAGGATGTTCTTCGTCCTTGGGTACCTTCGCCGCTCTGTACGACCACCAAGCTACACCACTAAGAACCTATACCAGCAGAACCACAAAGGAAACCCCGATTAAGCTCTAATCTAGAACGTCACCAAAGATCACGTGATCAATTAACAGAAACGCACTGGATCCACTCAAAGAGAGAAGAGAATCAAGGATTCCAAGAGGGAGAGGCGTACGATGTCAGAGACGGAATGGGCGGCGTCAGCGACGATAGCTGTGCTGCCGGTGAAGTAGCCCGTGAAGGCCTTCCCGGCGGCGAGGGCGATGTCAGCGCCAAGACCCAGCCGGAATATTCCCTCGGAACCCTTCCCCTTGTCGCCGCTGTGGTGGTGGTGGGAGTGGGAGTGGCCACCAACATGCCACCTTACAGCGATCCGGGAGTGGTTCGGGGTCTCCGCCGCGGCCGGAGAGGACGGGAAGAGAGCAGCAGTGAGCTGGCCGGAAAGCGGGAGGAGGTGACCACAAGGGCGGTCGGACCGGCGGAAGGCAGCGACATGGGAGAACCGGAAGCCCATGATTGTCAGATGTCAGCGATCACCAAATTCGCCTTTCCTTGTACCGGTCTCTTGCGCACGTGTAACGCACACGGAAACTTCAAGGGAACGTATTCTTCTTTCTCGAATCTCCAGCATCATTCAACATATATTTTTGAATTGCCCCTTAGTTGTCCCTTTTTGGAAACTTAATGGTTTAAACTTTTTTTTTTTTCTTAAAAAGAAAAAAAAGTTTAAAATATTAGAAATTTTATATCCCTCGCAAAAAAAAAAAAAAAAAAAAAAAAACAACTGATTGATCTCTCCTACCATCCTACTACTATTACAAAGTAAGTCTGTGAGGCCAGAGAGATTAACCTCGCTGGAGATAAACAGAAAATTTGTCATACTACACTAATCTTCGTCGTTAGGAATGGAACTTCGCAGACCTCTAATTGTTCTCTATACACTCTCTTTAGGCCTCCAATTTTAATATAAAATTATGTTGCTTTTATTTATTAATACAAATAAGATAGTTTCGTTCAAAAATATTATAAGGGAATCACTAGTTTTCCAAAGTTTCTTAGAAATCTTTTCAGTAACATCCACGTTATTCGAAGGAGAGCCACAGTTGTACAGTTTTGTTACTTTGTTTAATAATGTCACTCGTAGACTTGCTAATTCGGGAAGATCACAATGTTCCTCTTCCTTTCGGACTGTAGCTGACCCACAAGCTGCAAAATTTCGATTCAACGTTTGGTTGGAATGAAAGATTATTATTTTAAAAAATAGATAGTTAAAACCCTGTTTTATTTGGAGAGCCTTACATTATATAAAATAAAAATTCAAATTAGATCTAATTAGCATGATATTATCACGCATCAATGATATAAAGTTTTTTTAAAACCTATACCAATTAATTAAAAGATAAATGAGGATTATGTTTTTTCTTTTAACTAGGAAGGACAGCGTACTCGATCCTTAACTATTTGGGAACATAAGACAACGTTACACAATGAACTAAGCACTATGATGTCTCAACAAAAACGATCCTAATCTAATAATAACAATAAATATATAACTATTTGGGATAAACTACATAAGTCATTTATCATCATTGAATTTTATGCTAAATAATTGTTAGATTTTATTTTCAAAAATATAAATCTTCAAAAAAAAAAAACATCTTTTTTTTTATTTTTTTAATTATTTAATTATATTTATTATTAATTATTTATTTAATATTTAAATAATATTTAAATAATATTTATTGACTATGAGTACACATCAACTCTTCATTATGAAGAGAATATGTCTCTTGGTTTGAGACAATGGAAAATGTTACCTTCTCAATTATTAGATTTTTCATGCTAAGATAAATTCTTTCAAGATTTTCACATCTTTCTTAATTCTATTGCTCAACCTTAAATGGTGCCCGCAAAAAAGGCACGCATGTCTTATACTTGGGAATGGTTTCTTAGGACAGCGTATAATACGATTCCGGGTGAATTATAAACTTAAAATTTTATTTTATTAACTAAATCAAATTTAGTTTTTGTTGTTGAGCCTTTACTCCCAGCAATCTGAGAAACGTCGAATCCGATACTTAACTCCTAAGAATCTTGGATCTGCACTGAGAAGAGGTGAATCTTGATGTTGTTAGGTGATCATGAAGGGAGTTTTGGCCCTAATAATGGACATAGCCACGGTGTTAGCACTCGTGAAAATTTTCTTGTGGAGGAATCGTTTATAAGTTACACACCTGATACGAGTTATCTATATTCTGAATATGATTGTAACATAGCCAATGTGTAATGAAAGAAAATACTCATTGCAGAGTCCATTGACAATCACGAAACCTGCTGACATATCATGGTGTCTAATGTTACATGACTTATGTTAATATGCTTTATTATTATTAATGCTTGCATGGATTCTATGCGAAGGGAAGTTATGATGAACAGGGTTTCTTTTTTAACTTGTTAAATAATTACAAAAATAAATTTTGAATTGATTACTGTCATACTTCGGGGAAATAATTACAAAATGATTTTCCCATTTTGTGTTTATACTGAAATGTATTTTATGCAAAGCTATATATTTTGTGGGAACAATTAAACACTATGTTCATCCGGATGGCATGTATAAGAGTCATATCCCTATCTAATTCTAAAACTTGTTAGTTTTCAAGTACATAACCTTTTATTTAATAAAAGGGACATGTAGTGATATAATTATATACATATATATATATATATTAAAAAAACCTCTTCTTTAATCATGTTTAGATTGCCTACTCCCAGCGCATACAAACATTTCATTGGAACACGTTCCTCGTTAGAAACTTGGTTAAGTGCTCATCAAAAGTGCATATCTTAAAATCTGCTTAACGTAAATAAATGAACTGTGAAAAAAAAAAGTGATACTTTGGTTTGCATACATCAATCTGCAAAGAAATTTTAAGTTTAGATAAGGCATGATGGTTGGGTAGAGATGGAAACTGCTACTGAGTATATTGCTGATTGGAGGATTTCTTTTTTTCACAAGAGATAACGGTGTTTAAATATATTTCTTTTAAAAAACAATTTAGTTTAACTTATGTAAAATATTCGTTTCCGTATTTGCTTTGTCCCAATTGGTTATACGCTCACTGAAATGGGGCTGAAAATTTTAACAATTAATTATATTCTTGTTGATGAATACCATATACTTATCTGTCGAGTTAGCAGCTTCCTTTCCTTCGATGATCTTAATTTGTTGAGATTCTTGTTGGACATAAGCGGCTGTAATAAGAAGCTATGACGTTTTAAAAAATGATGAAGGTTCGGTCACGTTTAAATTAATGAAGTTGTGGAGTGTACAGCGTGTTTGGTATAGGATATATTTGTAGATTGACATCTTTGTGTTGTGATAACAATTACAACTTCTAGTGTTACACTTATTTATTTTATATTTTACTTAAAAAATTATTATTAAATTTTCGTGAATTAACTTTCTTATTTTGGACATTTACTAGTCAATTTCATATATTTTTGATAATGTTATACGTTAATTAAGATTTGTTAAATCTCAAATTTTGATAATGACATTAATTGATGAATTAATGATTTAATCTATGTGTTGAGATAAGTGATGCAGGACTAATGACGATCGTGAGAAAGGTGAAATGATTAAAGAAGAATCGAAGTTGGGCTAGAGTCAATGATCGGACATAGGGTTGGATGAATCGGGAGATACATTGAAGGATCATATGATGCAGTGAAAGCTCGCTAGAGGTTCGCCGAAAGCTCACCGGAAGATTGCTGGGAGTTTGCTGGAAGTTTTACTGAGAGTTTGGTTGAACCATTAACGTACATGACAACTTAGATTGCAAGTAGACTTTGATTTGTGTTAGTTTTGGGAGAAATCCTACTAACTCAATTAGGGGTCAATTGGGCTCAAAATAGGGCTAAATTGGGCCAGTTGGATAGCCCATTCAACTACTTAGTATCACGTCAAGCGGTGGCACCGCTAGAGCTGGCGATGAAACCGCTTGAGGCTCAACCTCCTAGGTGGTTTAGGTAGTGCTACCACTCAGACTAGGCGATAGTACCATCGATAGTTATTGCTACCAGGCGATGGTACCGCCCTATCAAGTCAGAGCCATCTCCGAGATTGTCAAGTGGTGGTATCGCCCAATAAAGATGATCGTATCATCAGTACCCTGGAAAACGGAGATGAGACACTTTTTGGCTCCATTTTTGAAGCCATTGGAGCCTATCAATACCTCACTCTTTCCTGCATGAAAGAGCACGAAAGTGTAAACAAAAGTCTTGAGATTTTGGGGTGTGAAAGTATTAAAAAACTGCTATGTGTCATCCTCTTCTTTCTTTACCTTTGTGATCAATCTAAGAGAGGTGTGAGACTTGTAAATGGTTGTCTCTTAAACATGTAAAAATAAGAAAAGAGTTATAAGAGGATAGTCAATTTTTGCCCATTTAATGAAGACCATTAGTGGACGTCGGTGGCCTTAACAGAGGAGGAATCGGGAGTGAATGTAGGTCATGATGACTGAACCACTATAAATCCAGTGTGCTTTCTTTCTATGTCGTTTCTTTCATTCTTTTCATTCTCATTAATCACTAATTTATTTCTTCACTGCCCTCACTCACTTGCCAACATTTTCAAGTTTAAACACTTTCATAATACTGGTTTAATCAAAACAAAGTTTTTCAAATCAATGTCGATTTTATCGAAAGCACTAATTCACCCCCCCCCCCCCCCTCTTAGTGCCCACTGTTGGAAAATCTTGGGATGACATCACATGTGTAACGGAAGAATAAGAAAACAAAATTCTTAATTTCTCAAAAAGATATTCGTTGTCATGCAAAGATTGGGACGTAAAAATTCGTGAAACAAACTGCGTATAGAATAGATTGTGTTACCTAGGGAGATCGTATATTCTTATTTCCTTGCAGATCTCTAGGAGAGGGTGAAGGAGGTCAAGCATCCTCATTTATAGCGGTGATCCATACAACAGGGCTACAACGACACTCCTCAAAACTTTAGGCCTACTCTGAGGTGGAGAGAGGGAGGAGAATAGGAGAGGCAAGCAAAGGCTCTAGCTTATGAACCACTGTATCCCTCCTATTTATAGAGGTCCCCTATCAAACCCTAATGGATCCTCTCCTATTGGGCATTAGATCTGCATCCAACTACCCAAGCCTTTTAGATTAGTGGATCTCTATCCAATAATCTCTTATGAGCTCTTATTAGATCTCATCCATAGGATCCAATAATTCAAGGGCTTATTAGATATCCAATAAAACAGGGGCTCCGGTGGATATCTCATATCCAAACCTCTACTCATCGCAATGCCTACTATATGTGTATGACCCTCTAGGCCCAATATCGAGCTGGCCATGAGTCATACCTGTCAGAACTCCTTCTGGCTTAGTGAATTATTATCTCTATAATAATTTACTCGACTCATCGACTATGGACGTACTAGGTCACTACACCGTAGTCCCTAGACGATATAGGGGAATCCAATCTAATGGACCTGTCTGTCCTTATTTACCATGTACTATAGTCCCTCATCCATCTGATATCCTAGAGACCATATACCGGGTATGGTACTATTAGACCCATACGGTTTCTACTCGAGTCTCTCTCTAATCGGATTCTCC